CAGGCGCAGGGATGGGAGGGGGTCATCTCTGAAGGGGTTTCAGACCTGCACCTTCTGATACAAAGATTTTACTGCTGGTAAAGTGCAGATACTGCAGAAGCTGTCACCGTCCAGATAAAACCTTATTTCTATCAGCAACTGCTCATAGCATCTCCCCAGTGGTAGAATAAATCTGATAAAAAAATGTAGTTGTAAGCAGCAACGATTTTATCCTAGTGAATAGATTTTATCCACCAGAAAAGATGTTGTGCTTGGCCATAATTTTTCAGATATGATGAATAACAGCATAATATGACCCTCAGTCCTAAGGATTTAATTTTAAAGGAACTACTGAGCGTATCGGATAATACTCAACTTTTCCTTACCTATCATTTTTTTTCCACAGCTTGAGAAAAAAAAAAAAAACACAAAAAACTGCCACAGGCAAATTTCAACAAAAGAACAACTTCAAATACAACCAATTAACAATTTATGAAAGAAAATCCAAGCCAAAATTGCACAGGGCAGAAAATTGGGCACTAAATCAAATGTAATGTGCAAATGCCTCTACAGGGAGTTAAGACCCCTTCCAGTGCATTGTCAAAAGGGGCTTTATCAGTGGAGGCTCAATGAGTACCCTCCATCATATCTTTCCTTGCTAGAAATGCAATATTTTGTCATAGAATCACAGAATGGTTTGGGTTGGAAAGGACCTTAAGATCATCCAGTTCCAACCCCTTCCCATGGGCAGGAACACATCACACTAGACCGTGTTGTCCAATGCTCTGTCCAACCTGGCCTTGAACACTGCCAGGGATGGGGCAGCAACAGCTTCTCTGGGCACCCTGTGCCAGCGTCTCAGCACCCTCACAGGGAAGAGCTTCTGCCTAAGATCTAATCTGGACTTCCCCTGTTTCATTTTGAACCCATCACCCCTTGTCCTGTCACTCCAGTCCCTGATGAAGAGTCCCTCTCCAGCATCTTTGCAGGCCTGCTTCAGATACTGGAAGGCTGCTCTGAGGTCTCCACACAGCTTCTCTTCTCCAGGCTTAACAGCCCCAGTGTTCTCAGCCTGTCTCCATACAGGAGGTGCTCCGGCCTCTGATCATCCTCGTGGCCTCCTCTGGACTTGCTCCAACAGCTCCATGTCCTTCTTATGTTGAGGACACCAGAACTGCACACAGTGCTGCAAGTGGGGTCTCATGAGAGCAGAGTAGAGGGGCAGGATCACCTCCTTTGACCTGCTGGTCACACTTTCAGACATGGCAATGAGCACAACTTGGAATGAACACCACTGATAAATCAACCTATGTGCAGTTATCAATTAGAAGTACTAAAAGTCATGAGATTTATTGACACTTTTGAATCTAGGATTTGTTCACTGTATCACAGCAGTGAGAGTCTCTGTAGCATCAACAAACACAAAATCACTTTTAATTTGTTAGCACGGCCAGCCACCATGTATACCCCAATAGGTCATGGTGACTATATTTAATGTTAGTATGGGGCCATTCTTATGTCTGGGATGCAGTTTCAGCCCCAGTGCATCCTGTTGCTTCCTGATTTACTCATTCATTCAGCAGCCGCAGTTGGATTTTCTCAAAAGATATTAAGGATACAAATAGGTAATTGCCTTCAGCAGCTCTGAAATTAACTTAAGCCACTACTTTGTTTAGGGAAAAACATCTGTGTCTAGACCATTATCTATTTAAACACATGAATAGCCGGCTTTTGTAAGAGACAACAGCAGTATCACTTGCATTGCGCTCTCTGTATTATGTGGGGTGGCGTGTTATTTACAGATACCAGGACCAACAATTGGGGATGACTAATAGAGCTGACACGGGCCAAGATCAAGGCTGTTTGTGATGCAGCTGTGGTATTATATGGATTAATATAGTTAGAAGATTTGGTTGCTGTATTGGATGAAGTCTTGAGTGACGTGGTCTAGTATGAGGTGACAGGGGGGTTGAAACTAGATGATCTCAAGGTCCTTTCCAGCCCTAACTGTTCTGATTCTATTGCCGTTTATCCTGTGCTCCCACATCAGAACAGAAAAGGAAACCTGTGAAAACATGTATATTTGTTATCTTCCACTAAAATGCATGTCTGCATAAGGGAACGTGACTTTTAGTGTCCATTCATATGCATTTAGATCCAGGGCAGAGTGTCCTTGCTGTGACCGTAGTACAAGAATTCCATTAGATCACTGTTTTCCTGCACCTTCAAAGCAGAGATACTTGGGCTCTTCCAGCCTGCTTGGCGTTGTGTAATACGACTGCCTCTGCATGTCTTAGTTATCGCACTGGTGAAGATGCGAGGACACCTCTGTCACTATAAATGAAGCATTAGAATACCCCAAGGCTTTTTTTTTTGCTTGAGTCCATTAAGTCATGCTTTTGGCACTGAACCACTCTATCAGATAAGTTAGTGTCCAAGGCACATATAATTAGTGAATAAAACACCCCCAGAGTATTTTAAACCTATTAAAATGTGTCTTTTAAAGTATAAATGAGTTTTTAACCTCATTTTAAAAGATGATTTTCTTCCTGTAACACACCCTTTCTCTGCAGATGACAGATCCCAGGAAAGCAGAAGATAAAACAAAGGCACACATTAATGCCAAAGATTTTAATCTTCTGTTTGTATTTGTGAAAGATACTTGACTCTTTGCTGCCAATTTTCTCCATGACTCTTTCCTTCTTTCGTCACCCCACTTCTTTCATCACATTGTGTGATGTTTGCTGTCTGCAACTAGATGGTGGTGATAATAATGAATTAAGTTCATAAAGCAAAGTCTAGGTTTAGGCAACTGCAAAAGTTCCTTAGTTTCTAAATGTAGAAATGATGCACTTTTTAAAGGCTCAAATAAGATCTAAAGGGTTAAATCAGTGTTTTCAGATGCTTAGTACCCTTCAAAATCTGGCCAACTGGAATGTCTGAATGTGATCTCAAGAGTTAAATATTACCCATTTTCTCTATGCCTTCACAGTTCCTCCAAGGTAGATCTCTAAGCAAACAAGCAAGAAGCAGAGCACATTATAAGTGACTCTTTTTCTCTCATTCGCTTGCCTCCCTCATGCATGCTTGGTTGGGCTGCTCATTCATGCCATAGTGATTTGGCATTGTTTCTACTGTGACTTTCACTCAAGTGATAGAATCATAGAATCACAGAATGGTTTGGGTTGGAAAGGACCTTAAGATCATCCAGTTCTAACCCCCTGGCATGGGCAGACACCTCACACTAAACCACGTCACCCAAGGCTCTGTCCAACCTGGCCTTGAACACTGCCAGAAATGGAGCATTCACCACTTCTTTGGGCACCCTGTGCCAGCACCTCACCACCCTCACAGTAAAGAAGTTCCTTATCTCCAACGTGAACTTCCCCTGTTTCAGTCTGAACCCATCACCCCTGGTCCTATCACTCCAGTCCCTGATGAAGAGTCCCTCTCCAGCATCTTTGTAGCCCCCTTCAGACACTGGAAGCTGCTCTGAAGTCTCCACGCAGCTTCTCTAGGCTGAACAGTCCCAGTGTTCTCAGCCTATCCTCATACAGGAGGTGCTTCAGCCCCTGATCATCCTCGTGGCCTCCTCTGGACTTGTTCCAACAGCTCCATGTCCTTCTTATGTTGGGAACACCAGAACTGTACACAGTGCTCTAAGTGGAGTCTTCCCAGTCCTTTCAGTTCCCCACTGCTTCCAGCAAGTCATCCCATGGCCTTGCTTCCTGTTCACTGGGTGGGAACTGACAGCATTTTGTGTCATAGAACCATAGGGTTGGAAAGGACATTAAGATCATCTAGTTGAAAACAACCACAGCAAAGGCCGTTATTTCTCAAGCACAACTTCATTGCAAAGCTCAGGTGTTTGTGCTTCAGATTAGTTCATACTCATAGAACAGAAGAGCTTGTTTTCTCCTGTAGCTTTCCAAGGCTTTGGGGACATTCAGGTCGAGAATGTGCTGTAGTGCGTACCTTTTCTTTTTTCAAGTTCAGAGTGTCAGAATCACTTGGATTGGTGTTTTTTTTTTTTTGTTGTAACTTTTGATTAGGAGTCAAAGCACAGCTCAAGGCCAGTTTAAAGGACCATATGTATTGTTTGAAGTGACATACTCATGCATTCATAGGGTTGGAGACTTCAGCAGTGATTATTTAAGCTCAGCCTCCTGATTCTCCAAACCATCCTTGTGTCAGTTCATTCTGCGTCCAGTCTACACCAAACCTAACATCTCTACAGGCACAGAAGCCAGAGGCTAGGAGAGGACCTTGTTAGACCTCTGCCCTACCTGCAATATAGATGCAGCTGCATCATGAGCAGGCTCTTAAAATCAGGTTCTGAATGCAAGCACAGCTCCCAAAGGCAGTGTAAACTTCTAACTACCTAGAAAATGGCACCTGATGTGTCAGCAAGATCAGGTCAACTCAATAGAGTGCAGACGATGAGCCTGTGTGCTGCTTAAACTGGTGACTCTGCAGTCACATTACTCTCATGATTTACCCTTATTTTAGCTGTGTTTAGTTTATCTCATATTATGTATTTAGTATATCTCATAAATAGACAAGATAGGATCATTTGTTATGTTGAATGTTGCAAGCTGCATCACAAAGTCTCTGAGACAAATGCGTAGGCTGTCTGCCTGAGCAAGTATCTAATTCCAGAAGAATTTGCAGGAAAGCCAACAAAGTAGATGTGTCATTTTTCTGATGCACTGTTATGTCAGAATTGCTGGAAAGTTCAAGTAGGATGCCAGGGCTCAAATGTAGATCAGGAGATCTGGCTTCAGGTCCTAACACTTCCTTCAAGACTTAATGTGTTTCCTCTCATAGAACTTACTCATCTTCACCTTTGCTCCATTGTTTATACACTATATTATTTTTATGTATATTATATAAATGTATATTGTTGTATATTATTATAATATAAATCTGTTACATTCATATTATATTTTCCCATAAGAAGACTATGTAAAACTGGACAACACTTACACATCCTCTTCTATCTTTCCATCCTCCCATCTCAGCAGAGCCCTAGGACCCCCTTCTCTGACCTCCGTGATGACGAGAAGATCTTTAATGGAGGAGAAGGCATGTGGCAGAACCAGAGCCAGGACAAAGCCTTGCTCTCAGAAATCACAGAGGAGGATCTGGAGGCAATCCGCCAGCGAGAAGAGGCCGTTCAGCAGATTGAGGTCAGTCACTTCTCCCTTTCGAGCTGGAAGTGGAGTTTCCTTGTGGTGCGTGCTCTATGTGATAGGAGAAATGATGATTTACAGTGCTTCCAGTACAGTATCACTGAAAATGGGAGAGATTATCAAGTGTTTCTAAAGATGGAAATCAGTGGCAGAAGAAAGAATTAGAAATCCATATGACCCATAAGGGAAACGTCAAGAATGAATTCATGTTCATGGACTAATGTTGTATGGAGTGAGTCTTCCATTACAAAGGCTGCGATGAGGTAGTTTAGTTGAGCTTGGCTCTGCAGCAAAACAGCTTTCTTAGTGCGTGCAGACTTAAAACTGGAATTTGTCACAGACAGAAAATCTTCAGCTCTAACATAAAAGAGGATAATAGTTAAAGGAAAGGAAATAACTTGTTATTTTTTTCAAGTAATTCAATGTTTTTGCTTTATTAAAGTATTTGGCTGTTCTTAATGTAGTTAAAAGAAGACACACTATTTTTACTCCTTTTTTTTGGATGCACTATAAATAAAAGATGAAAAAAAGGAACAAAGAGAGGCCGGAATAAGTTAAACATCCCACATTTGTCTTTTTATATTTCTCTTTTTATGCTTTTGGGAAACTCTTGTCCTAAGATTGGAGGAATAGATGAATAAACCCAGAACACATTAAACCTCTCTAATCTGTGTGCTTTTACAGGCCTAAACTCAACATGAACCAACAAAAAAAGAGGGCTTCAGAATAATCAGAACATTTAATTAAGGGCTATACTTTGTCCTTTAATTGGATTCAGCTAATTTTATCAGGATAGATTTTGGTTGCAGTATAGTGGGAATTGTGATTGAGTTACCAGTGCAAAAAGGGGATAAACGTTCCTGCTGGAGACTGGTGCTTTGAGGCTGTGACCTCTGTTTGCAGACAGTGAGAGCTACATATGATTCACACTGTAAGTAAGAAATGTTGATGATAGTTGCACAGGAGCTGGTTGAGGTTAGTGTGTAGCTAATTTCTGTTGTGGATTGCTGAATAGAGATAATTGAGCTTTGTGGACTTGGGTGCACCACTAGGGATGAAATTGTTATATTCTCACACTGAGTATCCTTGGGTGTGAGTTGTCCTTTCATATTGAGGATCCTCTTTGTGTCCACCAGGACAAACTCTAGGGAATTTTGTTGCCGGAAAATGCATGTTTTGGGGTGTTCCTGCCTTTTGATGTTCAAGAAGGATGGTAGCAAAGGTGGTTTTGGGACAGAGGCTTATGTGATGCGGTTTAGTGTGAGGTGTCCCTGCCCATGGCAGGGGGTTGGAACTGGATGTTCTTAAGGTCCTTTCTACCCTAACCAGTCTGTGATTCTGTGATTCTATTTCTGAAATGGTGGTGTGGACACAAAAGTTACTCTTATAATCCTTTTGCCTGAAGTATATTCACTGCCTTTTTCTTTCCATCTTTATGTTGCCTCCTGTGCTGCCCAAAAACACACCACATTGAGTGTTTGCCCATTAGATAGAGGAGAATTACAAGCCCCAAGCCATCCTCAAGCACACCAACTTTGGAAAAACAAGAGATGCAGTTGTGTCTCCTTAGAGAAATCCTTATGTTTCCTGCTTAAATCCCATTCCTGTGTCACAATTTGATATCTCTGCATTGAGCTGCATTGGACCACGTGTCCATGGTGGGGTACTTCAGGCAATTTAAGTGAATGCAGTCCTAGCCCTACATAACTTCTAACTAAATGCAGCGCTCATTTATTTTGAGCAGCCTGGTCTAGTGTGAGTTGTCCCTGCCCATGGCAGGGGGTTGGAAGTGCATGAGCTTAAAGTCCTTCCCAACCCAAACCAGTCTGTGATTCTATGTGCAGTTTGGTTATCTATTGATTTGGCAGATCCTTCAGACCTTTCTGCCTAATGTGAATTTACCTTTGAATAACTTGTTCAGCTTCTGGAGTTAATACTTATTCAAATTAAGCAGTTAATGCTTTCTGCTTCCTAACAATTTGTGTGCTTTCATGTCACCTATTTTAACCCCATCTCCAGCATCTATTTTGCTTTGCTATCCAAGATCCATGCTCACCCTGTAAGGAGGACTGCATTCCACAAGCATTATTCCAAATGCAGCTTAAACATTTCTCCTCAGAAGCAAAGCATTTAGGACCAATAGCTCTTTATTTAACATGTTTTTTGAAAGACATATAATGAAAATGCTATGGACTGTGTGATACCTCTCCCCACTTGTATTTGAATGAGCAAACAATGCTTTTAAATAGTTTTCACTGGGGCTTGCTTTTCTGCTTGTTGACCCGCATAGAATCATAGAATGGTTTGGGTTGGAAAGAACCTTAAGATCGTCCAATTCCAACTCCCCGGCCATGGGCAGGGACACCTCACACTAGACCATGTCACCCAAGACTCTGTCCAACCTCCATCCACCACCAGGGATGGAGCATTCACTGCCTCTCAGGACAACCTGTGCCAGTGCCTCACCACCTGCACAGTAAAGAGCTTCTTCCTTATATCCACCCTGAACTTCCCCTGTACATAACATATTTCTTATGAGAGGACTCACCTTCTGCATTAAAACTTCCCTGATTTCATTAGCAGCTGTGGGTATACAAAGGAGGGAGACACTGAGCTCATAGTCGCCCTTACAACGTTTCCCTATATATGTTTTCAAAACTAACAACCAAGAGGTTTAATAGGAAACATTATTCTTGTCAAACACAAGTAATCAACTAAATTTATTGCCAAATTGATGTTTGGCATTTGTTCTCCTTTGGGGACCAGAATGAAGAACAGAGCTGTGCAAACATACCGTATGCAAGTGGATTGGTCTTGCTGCATATCTAACACCGGAAACATGTCAATCTTGAGGAGCACAGACTAGGTCACAGGAGCATTCCTGGAACATCACATCTCCTGGGCCACACTGATTAGCACTGAACTTTGAAGAAACTCATGGTGATGGTACCAGTAATGAGGCTTTTTTGTTTTAACACTGTATCTGCCCTTTTTGCAGGAACAAATATAAAACCTTTTTCATTGCTGAAGAAATGAGGAAATAAATTCTATTCCCATCTTGTGTCCTGAAAAACAGATATAAAATTGTGCCCATAATAGACACCTTCTTAATGTCCCTATGACTCTTTTCCTTTTGTGTGTTTTCCACATCTCCAGGATCAATTCAGAGGTTCTGGTTAATGGGGCGTTGTTCTCTGTCATGAACATCCCTTCAGGGCACTTTTCAGCTTCCACCTGGAAAAAAAAACAGCAATGTCAACAGTTCAGCTGCCTGTTCATTTCATTTCCATGAGCTGATTTCGCTATTGCTTGCTGATTAAAAATAGACAAGTCTCCAATGGAGATGTCTCACCAAAACCTTAAATTTTGGATAAAGATCTTTATTCCTTAGGAGTGTCAAAATCTGGTAGGGCACGGCAGCCTTGACACAAGCGTTATGCCTTAAAATATTGCTTTGAACTGTTATATAAAACCTATTTTAACTTGAACTGTATTGGCAGTGAATAATAGATGCCATAACAACTTTATATATAGCCCTGTAAAAATGTGCCATCGGAAATACATGAGCTGAACTGTAATGTGCATTGTCAGTGCTCAGTGCTGGCGTGAGCTCTGTCATAGCAAATATATGTGATTTAGCATCTCGTGCTTTTCACTGGCACCTGTGGTCATGTGAAAAACAGAATTAGGTAAAGCTTTGAGAAGAAATTGATAACCATGGAACGGGGAACATCAGAATTTCATCTGCTGACTGGTTTAGGGCAACTAAGATGATTAAGGGAGTGGAGCATCTCCCTTATGAGGAAAGACTGAGGGAGCTGGGTCTCTATAGTTTGGAGAAGAGGAGATTGAGGGGTGACCTTATTAGTGTATATAAATATATAAAGGGGGAGTGTCACGAGGATGGAGCCAGGCTCTTCTCAGTGGCAAACAATGAAAGGACAAGGGGTAATGGATACAAATTGGAGCACAAGAGGTTCCACTTAAACCTGAGAAGAAACTTCTTCTCAGTGAGGGTGACGGAACACTGGAACAGGCTGCCCAGGGGGGTTGTGGAATCTCCTTCTTTGGAGACATTCAAGACCCGCCTGGACACGTTCCTGTGTAACCTTATCTAGGTGTTCCTGCTCCGGCAGGGGGATTGGACTAGATGATCTTTTGAGGTCCCTTCCAATCTCTAACATACTGTGATACTGTGATACTGTGAAAGACCTATGATAAAAAGATGCAAAAATGCCATATTCATTCAGAAAGCCTCTAGTGAGCCTCCCCACGTGTCCAGATTCTCCAAAAGTGATGAGAAAGGAAGATAGGATCATCATAGAACTTCCCCTGTTTCAGTTTGAGCCCATCATCCCTTGTCCTATGGCTACAGTCCCTTATGAGGAGTCCCTCTCCAGCAGCCTTGTATCTTGAAGGAGAGTTGGGTAGGGTGTAGCAAGAGGTGTGAGGTAATACTTTTATGTTTAGAAAAGTGTGTTCCCTCTGGTTCAGCATTGAGAGATGTCGATGTTCATTCCCTCTCTGTTCTGAAGAGAAGTGATAGATGCCAGCCTCCAAGCCTGTCAGTCAAGCATTTGTAAGCAGACAGAAGATGAAATACAATAAGAATAAAACAAAAAAAGGCCCCACAGAGCCTGTTTGTTAGTTTAAACATGTTCCTTGTTCACTCACTACTACCTATCATCTCTTGCTGAGGGGTATTTTGGGTAAAACCTCTCACTGATGCTAGCGGTTTAGAAGGTTTAATGCAAACTATTTTAGATCTTCCATCAGCTCAGTAGCCCAGGGTTTTGACTTAGGAGGGCTCTGCTTGCCTTTTCACTGAGACTTTTTGATTCAGAGTAATGTATAAGTAACACAGAACCATGACAAGCACTGTAAGTGAAAGAGCTGGTGCAGTGTGAGTGTCAAACAGCTCTCTTTTCATGGCAGAGTGGTGGAGCCTCATTAATGATGAGTGGAGAGTGAGGTTGACATGGCCAACCCTGGGACTC